AGCCCACCTGGAAACGTCGAAGAGAAGGGCAACTGAAGACTTGGCTCGACACTGCCCGTCAAGACATGGAAGCAATCCTTCGACCTTCTATCTTCGGTCTCTGTCGCTGGAGAAGAGAATGGGTTGAGCTTTTCAGATCCGCTGCCGCCAATCGACACGCATGGAGAGGTACTGTACGTGACCTCATTGAGGCCGGCTAGATCAGGCATGATCACAGCCGTAACAAGTACAAGTAGGTAGCAAATTACGCCTTCTTCATATGTTATACTTGCAGAAAGGGTACCTTGTGGTTTCATGAAAGTTTCTAATTATGAGATTTTTTACGACCGTATCTGTCTATTTATTAACGCGGCTAATAAATTACACAACTTGGTCCAAATCCATCACAAAATATTTGATCTCTTCCTCAATCCGTAGGGAAATACAGACTTTTACTATAGACAGAATGTATACGGCATGTCGTTTGGAAACCTGGAATCCAAGTTAATGGCCGGTAGGGTTCAAAACAAGTTCGTAATTTAGATACGTTCTTAAAACCGGAATAACCCTTTCTTTACGTAAAAACTTTGAAAAAAAAACGTAATTTGCTACTAAGTGAGTACAAGAAAGAATAGTGTGCATGTTTTCTATAAAACATATTTGTATTTCACAGACGAAAAGGAGAAATATTTTGGGAAGCCGGAAACTTTGATTCATAAATTGTCGAGGCTGACCCCCCAGCTCGTCGTCAGAGTATGGAATGCGTACAGGAACAATTAACCAAATTAACCGTGTCTGACAAAGAATTTAATGATTGGGTAAGGTCTGCGCCAATAGGTGTTACGTGCACTTTGTCATCCTATTCTGGTTGGCTGTGCGCGTTAAATTATTTTCCTTGAGAAATTCGTATGTCCCAAAGAATGTATCCTCTACCTAATAAAATATCTTGGGATGACCCCATTTCAATATTTGTATTTATAAAAGCAGCGAAATTCAATAATAAATGCATAATACTCAAGTAGCATCGTTACAGAGTTCACTTTATGCAAGCGGTTTGAAAGATGCATGTTCAAAAGCCCACATTCTGACTTGATTGAAATATCTTGAGATAAGGCTGCACGATAACCAGTTTTGAAACTATAATTAACTAATTTGTCCGAATTAAAAACACATTCTCAAGTTTGCAAAAGTCAGGATCCCGGGATTAGAATCATGGATCATATTGTGCTCAACGGAATGAGTTTGTACGTTCGCTGACGTTTTGGACAGCTGGGCCGGCTGTCCTTTGTCAAAGCGTGAACTGACTTTATCGGTCAGCAATTTAAAGTTATGGCTGTACGTGAGTAAAGGGCAGGACAAGCTCAAAGCGAAATTAGGATCTGCAAACAAAGACGGTCCTGTGACGAAACCACCAGGACAGGAAACAGGATTACCAGCATCATCTGCCATAGGGACGAAACACAACACGGACTGCCGTCAAGTTATGCCAAAATCCACACTGAGGGCCAAGCAGCGAAGGGAGAAAAATCGATCAGCCCATAGCCAACACGTACAGCCACATGGGCTACCAACCAACCAACCAACGTACAGCCACAACTTTAAATTTTTGATCGATAAAGTCAGTTAACGAGTCGGCAAAAGACAGCCGGCCCTACTGTCCGAAGCGTCAGCGAACATACAAACTCATTCCGATGAGCTCAATACGATCTATAATAAAAACACATTGCAGCATTTCGGTCGATTTTTTTATGAGATAGGGAAGCTACTGTAATTTTAGCTGCTTAAGTGATAGGAAAGGACTACATGGGACTGCAAATATGCACGTAGTCATAACAATCATTGAAGTAGTGGCACAAAGAAATACGCATAAGGTGAAATATCATTATTGCTTGCAGGCATAGGCCGCAAGCTCACCTAACCTACATATCAAACAAGCTTTAGCCACGTAAACGAGTTCACAGACGTGGGAGCCGAACAAGTGTTTTGACCGAAAGACACTACACACAAGCGGCACGCTTTACGCATTGTCGGCAAAGGTAGATGAGGCAGTGTGGCAGAGGAGTTTACAGAAGCGGTGCTCGGATGAATAACATAAAACGTGAGGTAAACGGCGTAAAACATCGGCCAAAAGCGGCAGAAACAACGGCCGAAGAAATTTATATTCTAACCCCCGCAACCCCCAGGCAGGGCACAAAAAGGAAGGTCCCATGTCACAGAGCTGACCCGCTAAATTCCAGGAAGGGTAAGTGGCCGTACACGCTAACACCTTATTTGGGTCTTTTCAGGAGGGGGGCGTGGGCGACATATAAGCATTGCCTACCCCAAAGACGAATAATGAAGTCAGGAAATGGGTGGGTGAGTGAACATACCCGGCCCCGTTCAACCTCCTTGGTGATCATGACAATTATTGCGCTGCGCTCCTGCCAAATCATGCGCCAGAAGTCGACCACTGTGTTGGGCAGAGTACCCTGAGTAGCAATGTAACGCGGTTTGGCACCGAAAAAGACGTCTGAAGAGGGAGACACGGTGTCACCGCGCTCGGGACCTCGGGTGCTGGGGGACTGGGCACGCTGCTTATCAAAGGCCGGAGTACCAGGACTGCTGGATTGTGGAGTGCCATAGGAGGCGTCGGAGGAGGGGTAACCACCTAGAAGACTCTCCGTTAGCGCGTCCT